TTAGGATTTTCTTTACACTTTTGGTTGCCTATAACAGTGATGCTCACTGTTATAAGCAATCATTTTTATGAATGACATCCATTATTTTACATTGTGTACTATTGTGATAGCTATGATTGGTCACAGCAATCACATAGTATGGATGCACTGTGATTGGCCCTGTCTGACCAATCACAGAGATCTTCACAATAGAACACAATGAATGGCTATGAATGAAAGCCATTCATTGTGTACAAAATGATATGTGATAGCTGTTACTGGTCACAGAAATCACATGGTACCAGGGTTGGCCCAGTACAATGATCTTTCATCTGCTGTGTCAGGTGGACACAGTGGGTGACAGAGCCAAAGCATGGCTGCTAGGGCACAAAGGCGGTATGTGCCTAAAGGACATCAAATGATGTCCACCCAGGATAACAGTACTCTCACTCGTTCATTTTTTTTACAATAGGCCCGGGCAGAAAGTAGTTGAATAAAAGGCCTACCTCCTCAGAGGAAATCTTTTTATCATTCTATTTTTTAAACCTTCTTTTGCATCAAACATTACAGATTTTAAAGATATAAGCTGAATTTCTGATATACAGTAGTTTGGTGCCCAAAATTGTCCCATTTTCTTATTTTTGTTTAATCTCTTCCCTACCGTGCTATAGCCGAAAGACATCTACAGCGCAGTTGTCTAGTTCTGGGAGGACACCCATGGACATCAATCCAGAACACGCCCCCTGTGCACCCTGCACGCTGCTGGTGATCACTGTGTCCTATATACAGACCTGATCACATGATACGCTAAATGGCCAATCACAGCAGACTTTTACCACGTGATCAGCTGTATCCAATGACACAGCAGATCATTAGGTAAATAAAGTTGCCAGATATCGGCTGTACTTTCTTCACACTGTCACAGTGAGAAAAATCACCTGTTTCCAAAATGTTATAATAGAAAAAAAGAAAAAAAATTTTTTTTTTTAAGTTTTTGCTCTTTTTTTGTTTATAGCGCAAAAAATAAAACACCCAGTGGTGATTAAATACCACCAAAAGAAAGCTCTATTTGTGTGAAAAAAAAATTATAAAAATTTCATATGAGTACAGTGTTGCATGACCGCACAATTGTCATTCAAAGTGCGACAGTGCTGAAAGCTGAAAATTGGGCTGGGTGGTAAGGGGGCATAAGTGCCCGGTAGAAAAATGGTTAATGCTAAAACAAATGCTTATTTGGAATGTGTTTTTATATATTAATTCTCACCTATTGTATGAGAAATTAATGAGCTGCCATTGCTTGCTTCCTTCTTAAAATACTAGTTTTCTGGCTTCAAAGCTGCTGAATCAAATACCCAGAAAAAGCATGCAGAAATTGAAACTAAAACATAATTTTAGTTGTAATTCCTCTGCATCAAAATATTAAAGCCAAATAATCAACATGGCAGCCAAGCACCTAGCAATTTTAGAAATAGCATCAACAATGAAAGCCAACATATTCTGTTTTAGCAGATGTACTTTTATTACAAAACAATTTGTCTTACGGATTTTCAATAGCAGAGCAGCCTAATGTTATTTGTAAAATAGGGAATAAGTAATTCATACACTCCATGCTCGTGGATTGGGTGTAATTAGTGATCACTCTCTGTAGATAAAATATGGTGTCCTTGAAGCAATTTGCTCATTTTTGTTTAGCTGAATGTGTATTTTGATAATGAAACTTTTTTGGAGTGGAGTTAAGTCAAATATTGCTTCATAGTAGGAGGGTGGTGTTCATCTCATCTTTGTAATATGATTTTTTTTTACATAGTGCCAATAGTTTGTGTAGCTCTTTACAATATAAAAATGAGACCGTAAATCTATAATACCATTCAATACAAGAGGGATAGAAGGGCCCTGCTTGTAAGAGCTTACAATCTAATACGAGGGAAGGTAAAAAAAGGTAATAATTGTGGGGATGAGCTGATAGAGAAAGTGAAAATTTAGTTTTTATGTGGAGATGTGATAAGCTTCCCTGAAGAAATGAGTTTTAGGAGTTTGCCTAAAGGCTGATAGTAGGGTAGTAGGGGTAGGGGATAGCCAGACAAATTGGGGTAGAAAGTTTGAGAAGGTGAGCAAGGCCCTGGAGAAGACCTGGAGATGAGCATGGGAAAGGGAGACAAGGGAGCTGGAGAGAAGAAGGTCTTGGGGGGAGGATGGTTTTTATGTGATATTTTGAGATGAGGTTGATGATGTAGCTTGGGGCAAAGTTGTGAAGGGCTTTGTATGTTTTTGTCGGTGTTTTGCATTTTATTCATTGGGGAAGCCAGTGGAGGGATCAGCAGGGTGCAGTGGCAGACACTGAGTGCTTAGTATGGTAGATGAGTCTGTCAGCAGCATTCCTGATAGACTGAAGAGATAGGCCATGTCCTCCAAACCCCTGAGATAAAAAAAACACTCTCATTGTTTTTATTCCTTGTTGGGATGCCTGTTGGGAAGTTTGGTAATTTTTTTTTCTGTTATTTATGCCATATTTGGTCTTATTGCATGCGAATATGAATCTTTTTTCCCAGCTAGCAGGTGGAGTTTTAGGCTCATATTTATATATTTTTCTATTTATTTACCAACAGCCTGTTAAAAAAAAACATTTGTTTACAGGCTCTGTAACTCAAGCTGTAATTTAAACACCCGCAAATTGAGTCACACCAGTGACAACTGTTGGTGACGCACTATCACACTGAATCACTCAGGAAAGAATGCAGGAAACCATTTCTGTGCTATGTTAACAAACCCCTAGTGCTATGGTCACAAGAAATACTCAGAGATAATAGGCATAAGACACATCTTGGCTTCAGAAACATTTTTTTGGTGATTACTTGAACACATGTAGCTAAACATAAATTGTGGTAGAGGGGTGGAAGTAAGGGAGTAGTGGAGACCATGACACAACATATTTGGTATAAGGAAAAAGTGCACTTGCAGGTATAGGACATCTATGCATTATACACCTATAATATATTAATATATTATGTATGTATATACTGTATATATATATTAACACCCATCTTGCAACAGCTTTCCCAGAACAGATAGCTACTGTCGCCATTTATGAGTATTATACCCCTTTCTGCCTTTTCCCTTCCAGCCCCTATTGTATTGTTGCTTCTTCATCTCTACCAACCCCATTAAACCAAGCAGAAAAAAAAAACAAATTAAGATGCAGATCAGATCTGTCAATAGCATCCTAAATTGATGACAGTTTTTTTAGTCACAAAAGTAACTGTGGATTTTTAGGTCAATGGACTGGACCTAACGTGACAGATGATATCACAGACAAATGCAAAAGATCCCTTACATATGCATTGACAGACAGACATTTAGTCCTTCTGGATTGTTGGGCCAGTAGACTCACTAATACAATTTAAGTACATCTTTTTTTCTACACTTCCCCTCTGGTGATATTAGAATATTTGCATTTTGACAAAAAGGTTTGACAAAAAGCTTTCCTAGCTCCACTTCTTATAAGTCCAAACCCAATAAGTTTTTTTGATTAAATCCTAATTTGTAGTAAACCCTTCTAACGTTTGTGAATACTTACATCAATTTATTCTTTACTCATCATTAATAATAATCTTTCATAACCAATTGGTCTTTTAGTAGGAATAAACAAAATCCATACAATTCTGGTATTGAGGAGGTTAAAAAGTGAAAAGTTCCTTCATTAATGTGGTTGGTCAGCTGAGGCATAAATCAGCATTAATTACACTAAATTTCTGAAGTACATATTCTGAGCAGAGCATATTCAAAACACAGACTGTTCTGAAATAATTATTATAATCTTTTAGGCACAGGGTTTTTTAATGTTAATTATAGTCATATAATGAATGCACCAGATCAAATCCTATTATGCCTTTTGTGCTAAAAGGGGTGACTGGAAATCTTTTAACCTTTATATAGCAACATCTAAGCATTCATCAATATTCTTTTTTGGCCGGCGAGAGCACAACATGCAAATCCGGCATACCTAGAAAGAAGTACAGTATATGCTTCTTATATGGTGGACTATAGTCTTTTAAATTTGGATACACAGATCGATGTAAATGAGCCACTCAATTTTAAAAGTCTCATCGGTATGTGATAAAGTATCATATTGTCTTTCTATATAGTAAGTGGTTATCCATAAACATGGGTGCAGCCATTTTAATCCTCCTCTGCCTTACAAAGGATTCTCTGCTACAGAGATTTGTAGCCAGAGTAGCCATTAATAAAACAGGGTTTTAGCACATGCAGAGACCCTGACATAAGCAGTTGTGTTCTGCTTTCCTTTTTCTCCATTTTTTTTCCGTGGAATTGTTTGCTTCTACCTACTGTTAGGGAGTGTCTCTGGTGATAGTGTAGAAAGATGCAATACTTCTAAGTTTTATGAATATTTGTCTCCTTGGCCAACCAGTGAGCAGGTTGAATGCCAGTGGTACATATTGAGGGCTTATATATACAGTATTTTGGTGACCTATGGAAACCCTTTTACCTCCTGGGCCCTACCAGGCTTGCTGCTTGAGAAGGGCAAAGGCAAAAGTGGCTGTTTTTAGGGGCAAGGGGAGTAATATTCTGCTGTATTGGAGGGTACATCCAAAAGGAGTAGAGCAGGATGATGATGACTGTCTGTACAGAGCATTTTGATGAGAGCTGGGTATAAGCTGCTACCAATGGACTTTGCAATCGGAGGTGCTCATTCTAATAGTGGTAACTTACAGTCTGAACAGTAGAGATAGATCTTAACTTAAGGGCCCTCATCTCTGTATTGCCTTTGATTAGAAGTCTGTGCTATTTGGGTATCCTGTTGCCTAACCCTGACTTCTGATTTTATTGATTATAAGTTGCTAAATGTGACTGGTACCCAATTTCGACCAGCCCGCAAAGAGTGTTTGAATGTTTAAACACATGTATTGCATTTTGAATGCTGTTCTTTAACCACTTGACCTCTGGAAGATTTACCCCCTTTCCTTTTTATTTTTTTTTTTTTTTTATACTAGTAATGGTGGCGATCAGCGGCTTATAGCGGGACTGCGATATTGTGGTGGAGATTTTTACACTAACTGACACTTTGTGGGAACCAGTGACACTGATACAGTGTGAACAATATACACTAATCACTGCATTAATGACACTGGTTGGCAAGGGGTTAACATCTAGGGCAATCAAAGGGTTACGTATGCGCCTAGCTATGTGCCTAGTGTACACTAGGTGGTGATTTAACTAGGGGAAATCATGGATCGTGTTCTCAGCTCTACAGAGACACATGATCCATGACTCCCCTCTGTCACAACAGGGCTGTGCCTATGTAAACATAGACACAGCTCTATTCTTCCTCCCGGACCGACGATCGGCAGGTGCCAGTGAGCATCTGCTGTCTGGGACTTGTACATCGATTTCTGCTGTGACATTTCACAGCAGAAGTGATACGCCGGCAGCGCGCCCCCTTGAAGTTCAAAATCACGTAAATATACATGATTTTGCACAGGAATGTTGCCCTGTAGCAGAAAAACTGCTTTAGGGCGGAGGTAAGAAACATCAGTCATCTGTGTTTTTACTTCCCCATGCCTGTTGTGCATCATTTCCTTATTTTAACATTTATCTGAGGTTATCTACCTTAAAAATGGGGGAGAAAAAGAGCTTACATGACCACCCTTTTGTCTTTTCTTCTTGTTATGCACTGACTTGTGAGAGAAGTCAGATGAAGCCAATACAGCACTGCAGTAACACCCACTTAACACATATTTAAATGATGGATGATGTTCAGGTTCACAGCAAACCCATCCTATCTGTGGGTTCATGGACCCAGTAAGTTAAAGATGCTATACGCAACCATAGAAAACAACTACAAAAAATGCACTTCCTGGCCTCTAAACTGGCCTCTAAACTTAAGTAAGCAGCTTAGAATGTTCAGTAATTGGGGTGTTCCTATATTCCAGCCCTTTACTATAAAAAGGCAGCATTCCCAGCTTCCAATAAATCATTATCATTTGGATGTCATTGATCCAATGTACACTATTTTATTCAGTAGGACAAATCTTAGTTGATCTACTTTAACAACTCATGTGTGTTAATTATTATTTCCTGACCTCTTGTACTTTAAGTCCTTTGAAATGTGACCATTATACTATCAATACCTTCCATAATGCATGGAGAGTCCTGGAATGCAGATGAGGGCAAATAAAAAAAGTTTTTTCCATCAGAGAACCATGTGCATAAAAATCTCTTTATAGCCATAATCCCCTCTGTAAGACCAGTGTTTGAGCTGTCAGCCTTATTTTACAAGAAACTAATTGTTTTAAATTTTGCACAGGGACAAGGTGGTGTTTAGGCCTGGAGATTTTTTTCTAGTAAAGGACTTCTCAAACATTTGGGTATCTTTATTTCTATGTGATGTATTGATTTATTTTATTATGTTCTCTATACTCATTCATGATGGAGGATTAGGAGGCAAAAGAGGCTTATATATCCTGATAATACCCCTACCTCCAAACCCCACAATCATTGTCCAGGGTTGTAGGGAAGAACCCCTTGTCCTCATCAACATGAAATGCTTTGCCAGGGGTCTCTGGTGGTAAGGGACCCCCCCCCCCTCCATGTTGAGGACATGTGCATTTTTGGAGGTACTCTAAGTAATGTTTTTTATTCCTGCTGTAGGGTGTGCTACAGCAAAAGTGGCATTTGCAAATAAAAAAATGATACACATTAAACTTATGGCAAATAAAATGTCACTGATGGCATCTTAAAAACAAAACCACACTCTCAAAGGGCTCTCACTATATACAATAGACCCTTAAGGATCCATGTGCCATTTTGTGTTTAAGAAAAAATTAGCCAAGAGGGAGATGTAATTTGTATGCAATGTAAAAATTTTTTTTCCTTTGTAAATTTATTTTCCTTTAAAAAGAATCACTGTTCCAAGCCGCATGGAATTTTGTACAATTTTTGTGCACTGGTTTGTGTTCCCCAGGGCAGTGCCCACCCCCCATGACCCATGCCTGTTAGCCTGGAAAATTTAAATTTTTTTATTTTTAAAGATTCAGCTCCCATTGGTTTCAGTGGGGTTTAGGTTCAGCACCTAAACTCCTTTCAAGTTTGCCATTTGTTTGGCTCTTCATTACTCATGTACTGTCCTGACAATGGCCAATTTCTATGGTGTTGCAGCCAACAATTAATAAGAAAAGTCTATTACACATGCAAAATGTGATAGCAGCTGATGCTGTTTCATAATGCCACATACAGTAATAAGCATCACTTAAGCATATCATTTAAGGGATTGTTATTTTTTCCATGTCATCCTAAAGGCCGGTTCACACCATGCCTGAATCTGAATTGCACAGGAATGAACAGCAGTTCCGTGCAGTGCGATTTCAACCTATTAATTTTAAATGGGCTGAAATCGCACCAAAACTATTGCATGCGCTACTTTATAAAACACACTGTAACTGGACCACATGGCACAAAAGTACTATGCAATCTGGTGTGGGCAGGTGCTCTGTGTTTTTGACTTGCATTTGGGGTGCCTTTAACTTTTTATTGACACCAGCAGCAGATCACAAATGTATTGCAGTTTGAATCGCACAGGAATGCACAGCGTGTTCATGTGATATTCAGATGCGGGCATGGTGTGAACTGGCCCTAAAGTCAAATTAAGCCCTGGGTCACACTGGATCCAACTTTGAAATCATGCGACTTCACTTGAAGTCGCACCATTTCAAAGCCGCATGCCAGCGTGACTTCAGGTGTGACTAGGCAGACATCTGTACAACTTTATGCACAGATGCCTATATAAGTCGCCCCTGCAATTCAAAAAGTAGTACAGGAACATTTCCTTAAAATTGGTGTGGCACTGCAAAATTGGAGTTGCACTGATTTAAGCGGTTCCATTGCTGACAATAGGGTGAGACTTGTCATTCGATTTGAAACTGTCAAATCGCATGACAAATCAGACCAGTGTGAAATAAAATGTGGACCCTTTCCCTGCTGTACAATATTTTTACAGTTCATGGTAATTAAAACTCCTACTTCCTCTTGTTCAAGTGTGAATTCCTAGTAGGGGCTACCCATGTGTTACACAAATGTTCTCATGGGATAATGAAATGCTATACACACAGAGAAGCATTTCCTACATTCTGTGCTGACTATGGGAAGCACTTGCAAAGCCAACACGAGATCCAGTGATAATCTTGTACTATGGTGACTCCAGTCATTTTGTGCAAATATAAATATTGGGGGAAACAGTACATGGATGCAGATGCTACATCCTGGGCTATTCCATGCTGTCCATAACAATGGGAGACAGCTGAGAGGCTATGAACAAGATGAGAAGTTTGAGCCTGGGTTCACACTGATGCGGTGTAGGAAACGCAGTGATTCCTGTGTGTTTCCCGCAACGCTTAGCAATCACACTGCGTACATGCGATCTGCTGCGGGTGTCAATGTTAAAGCGGAGTTCCACTCAACCTATCAAAAGATAAAAGTCAGCAGCTACAAAAACTGTAGCTGCTGACTTTTAAAAAACAGCCACTTACCTGTCCCGTGGTGTGTGCCCCGCAGTTCGTTTCACCGGCCGTCTTGGATACCAGGAGGCCGGCATCTTCAGTGTGGGCACCCGGCTGTGACAGCTTGTGGCTTCACAGCCAGGTACCCACTGCGCATGCGCGAGTAGCGCTGCGCTTCATGAATGGTCCTGTAGTCTTCTGGAACCTGTCACGTGTCCCAAAAGACTACAGGGAGGGAGGACACCTTCCGCTTCTTATCGCCTAGGCAAATGGACTGGAAGTGGGAGTGGGTACCTGTCAAATTCGGATACCCACTCCCCCCCCACTCTACAAAGGTGCCAATCCTTAATGGGGATCGGGGGAGCAGTCCTTAAAGCAGAACTTCCCCTTTTGGGTGGAGCTCTGCTTTAAGTTACCAAAACTGCAAAAGCATGCCTCAAAACACAATGCGTTTGCCTGAATCGAATCACATGGGTATGAAAGGCTATGCAATTTAAATTCAATGCGGCAAATAAAAGGTGCTTGCACCTTTATCATGTGGATGTGGTGTGATATGAGCCATACAAAAGGAATGTGCTCAAATCACATCGCACAGCATTCCTGTTCAAATGACATACAATTCCACAGTGTGAAGCAGGGCTAACACATTCCTCCTTCGTTATCTTAGAGGAAATTTTCTGGCTACAGCAGCCTATGTCCTATTTGATATGTTTAGAAATGCTAACAGCAAATATAGTAAAATATAACTTAAGTCCAGGGAACCCGAACAAAATCTAATATGCACATGAAAAGGGATTCACATTGTGTAATTGGACAGGCCCAAAACACCAAAGGTATTTCCAGAGATAAAAATTTCTGCGGATTGCCACTGCAATTCAAGGACAGTTGTAGACATTGTAGATGCTAAATGCTGGGATGAGTATGCCTTCTTCAGTTAACCACTTCCTGACCGCCCTATAACAGAAGTACTGCTACAGGGCAGCAGGGCTGTGCAAAATCACGTAAATATATGTGATTTTGCATTTCCGGGTAGGGGGTGGGTGCGTGCGCCGCCCTTCCTGTGCCACCATTGGAGGCTACAGATGTCAATCACCTGGTCCCGGTCGGAGATTCTCCGCCGCCACCTGGTGATTATCACTGACAGGGGAGAGACCTGTGTGTAAACAACACAGGTCTCTCTCCTGCCAGCAGTAACATGCTGCTGTGTATTTCTCTGCAATACAAAGGAGCATGTCTCCTAAGTAAAACAGCACGCAATGTAAAACACACACAGCACACTGTTAACCCTTTGATTGCTCCAGATGTTAACCGCTTCCTGCCCAGTGTCATTAGCACAGTGTCAGTGCTTTTTATTAGCTCTGATCACTGTATTAGTGTCACTGGGGATGTCAGTGGCAGGTAGTCAATTCCCCCCAGTGGCAGAATGCCTGCTGCAGTCCCGCAGTCCCACTATAAGTCCCTGATTGCCGCCATTACTAGTATATAAAAAATAAAATAAAAATAATTCCAGAATATATACTGGAATATATATATAGACACTATAACTTTCTTGCAAACCAATGAATGTATATGTATTGGGATTTTTTTAGAAGAATACATTTTGGCCTAAATTTATGAAAAAAAATTTTGAATTTTTTTACTGAATATGTTTTATAGCAAAACGTCAAAAAATATATTTTTTTTTCAGAATTGTCGGTCTTTTTTTGTTTGTACCGCAAAAAAGAAAAAATGCACAGGTGATCAAATACCACCGAAAGAAAGCTCTAATTGTGGGGAAAAAGGACATATATTTCATTTATGTACAGCGTTGCATAACTGCGCAGTTGTTAAAGTAACACAGCACTGTATCACAAAAAAATGGCCTGGTTAGGAAGGGGGTAAATCTGGAGGGCAAGTGATTAAAGTATTACATATCATTTTCATTTGTTAATGACTATAATCTTTTGACAAATTATTGTCTGCAGTGAAAACATGATAAAGGTAACTTATATGATTGTAACATGATCTTTTGTGTCTGGGTTGAATACAAAGTACGACCAATTACACAAATCTCTATACATAAGGAGCAGTAGACCAGAAAGCAGATTATATTCATCAGCAGAATGTAGCTAACGAATTAAGACTTGTTAGCATCACATTCCAGCTACCTCAAAATGCCTGTAATGGTAACTCTCCATCCATCATTTGTCCAGTCCAATGTCAAAAGATCTTTGCACTTTCACAGAGAAATGAAAAGAATGTGTTAGACCTCAAATGAAATTTAGGTTTAATAAGTGTCACTGAACAAGTTCTAGCGTGAGAGCTTGAACTGCAGACCTGACACTAATTAGCAAGTTACAGGTATATTATTAAAACACAGTTTCAACTTTATTGCATTTTCTGCTTGAAACATTTCTTGCCCTTGTGCTGTGCTGCAACAAACAACGTTTCTCATATAAAGCTTGTCAAACTATTTTAAAATATAAATTCTGATAAATAGGACAAACTGATCTTAGTGTTACTAAACCACAACAATGAAATCAGTATTTATGTTCAGTAAAGCATGTTTGTTATAATCACTGTGGAACCTAAGGGATTAAACCTTTGCATTGTGTAAAGACGCTATTTGATCCTCACTTCTCTGATCCTCCCCTTCTTCCAGTGCCCCCTTCTGATCTCTTGATAAGACATATTGGGTGGAGCACTCTGCACATGCTCAGTTTGGTGTGTATTGCTATAGAAGTTTTTTTTTTTACCTTGGGAGAGTGCATGTGATCAGCACAAGGCCAATCAGCACTGTCCAGACAGAGGTCAGGGGTTCTGCATCCTCCTAGAGCAGAATGAAATCTCCTCCTACAAGCTTTAACCAGTGCTCTACTGAAAACTGATAGAAGTCACAAGACTGCTCAAACTGCTGATGAGAAAAGGTATTTAGCAGTTTATATTTACTAAATTAATTGCATTTCCATGTTCTGTGTACTGTGGGAGACCAGATATAGTGAATGAAGGGACCTGAGTTTAGTAACACTTTAATATAAATGTTTCTGGTGGCTTAGAGGTGTGCTATCAAAACACACTGCCCAAGCTATAACTATACCCAAGGCTGGATTTATAATTTGGCAAAGTATATCATCCATAGTTGCCAACATTTAAAAAAAAAATGTCAGATTTTTCCTGTACATCTAGCAAGTTAGGCAGTGAAAGTAGTTTAATTAGAAGTGGATAATTCATTTAAAATAGAATTGATCTTACAACAGGCATATAACTAACCCTGCTGAACACTTTAATTTTAATATATTGTATATACAGAAAGATTTATCATAATAAAGAAGATAATATTGCTGAGTTGTTGAAAATATTGATGTATTTGTTTAGCCAGCTACAATTTTTAAATTGGCCATACATGACTCCTGCTGAATCAGCTGAAATTTAAGCCATGGTTGGCCCTGTCGGCACCACCTGGTTCAATAAAAGTTGACTTAAAAATCTATGGAGCCGGGTGAAAAATGATGTCACCTTTCATGCAGACATTCCGATTCAGGTCCAACATCCCATTTTTTAGGCAGACCCGATCGGAACCTCCATTCTCTTCTGTGGAGCCATGTGTGCAATCCAATCGGAATCCACGAAAAAGAGACAAATGGAGATCCGTTCCCCTTCTGTCCATCGGATCAGATAGCAGTTGGAAGGAAACAGACAGGTGATCCGTTTCCATTCGACCAACCATAGTGGGCAGCGAGCTGTTTCCGTGTCCGCTCTACACAAGAGGAGCGGACACGGACCTATCATCAGCTTACTCAGGAGGGATCAGCAGACAGATTCTCCGCTGAGCAAACGGGTTTGCTGACAGGTCCACCCCGTGTAAAAGGAGACTTAGGGCCAAACAGTGACTGAATCCAATCAAGTATATTATCCAATTAGATACAGTCACTCTTCTGGAATTTGGAGAGCTGCCCCTGTCTGAATACAGTAGACATCAGAGGAGACTCCTCCATCCACACTGTTTGTTGTGAATAGGGGAATTGAGTAATTTCTCAGAACAAGGCTGAACAAGGGAAATTAACATGTGTAAGGTTAGCCTTAGGCTATACAATTTTCTGTCCAATTTCCTTTAGATTTACCTTTAACTATGTAGTGCAAGGGCCCACCTAATTGGATTCAGTTGACAGTGTTGTTTAGGTTTGACCTCATATTATAGGTTTTTTGGTGAATCTAAAGTAACATTCTTGCAGAGAATATTGATAAACCCCAACTACACCCCAAACACATTTGGCATAAAATATTTAGAAAATATAATTTGACCAATGAGGGTGCTGAGTACTGCAATACCTGTTGTGATTACTGATGGGTTGTAGGTAGCAAACATCTTGTATAATTAAACTAGTTAGGAGGCAATACAGTGTGACAAATTCTGAATCATGTAAAGAAAATATAGAAATCTTTTTCATGTGTGTAGTAGGGATTTTACACTGACCACCAAGGTAACAGGATTTTCATTGACCACCAATGTAAGAAGGGATTTACACTGACCATCTATGTAATAGAGAAATTACAATAAATACTGACACTGACTACCAATTTAATGACCACCAGTGGAAGGCTAGTTTCACACTATTATTTGAATGGGCTGGCGTATCTCCTGAAATGCAGGGAAAAAGATTCCTGCAGCATTTTAGAAATCACAGCCTACACAGGAACAGTGCAGTGCAGTTCCCAGTGTGGTAGTGATTTCTAGTGCGTGCAGTGTGCCATTGGGAATAATGCATTTTTCTGTGTGGGTGGTTGTGGCTGCAGGAACAGGTGTGGTTCCTTCAGCGGCATTCACCCCCACAGATGTGAACCTAGCCTTAGAGGGGGTTTCTACACTGACCGCCAATATATTGAGGGATTTACACTGACCACCAATGTAAGTAGGGATTTACAGTAAACACCAATATAAGAGGGGATTTCTACACTGACCACCAATGTAAGGAAGATTTTCTATACTGGCCACCAATGTAATAGGGAATTTACACTGACAACCAATGTAAAGGGGAATTCTACACTGACTACCAATGGAAAGGGGGATTTTACACAGACCACCAATGTAAGGAAGTATTTGTACAGTGACCACCAATGCAATAGAATATTAACACTGACCACCAATGTAACGGGGACATTTATACTGAACACTAATGTAATGGGGGGATTTACACTGACTACCAATTTAAGGGGGAATTCTACACTGACCCCTAATGTAAGGGGGGTTTACACTAACCACCGAAGTAAAAGGGAATTCTACACTAAGCACTAATGTAACGTACATGTATACTGACCACCAATGTAAGGGGGATTTATGCTGACCAGCAATGTAAGGGGGAATTCCACACTGACCCCCAAAAAGTGAGAAGATTTACACTGACCCCAACATAACAGGAATATTTACACTAACCATTATTATAACTGAGACACATTACACTGACCAACAATGTAACATTGGTATTTACAATATCTCCCTCTTCTTGCTCACATTTGGACCCCAACCTCCCATTCACCTTTGAACCCCAAATGATAACCCCACCCCCTCTCTGTATTCTTCTGCATCTACTTTTTTGCTCATCTTTGAACCAACCCCAAATGGTAAACCTTCTCTGTATATCTCTGCATCTCTCTTTTTGCTCATCTTTGAACCCCAAATGGTAACTCCCTCTCTCTGTATATCTCTCCACCCACACTTTTGCTCATCTTTGAACTCCAAATGGTCATCCCCCTCTCTGTATATTTCTGCATTTACATTTTTGATCATGTTTGAACCCCAAATGGTAACCCCCTGTCTGTATATCTCTGCATCTCAATGTTTGCTAATTTTGAACCCCAAATGGTAACCCCCTCTCTCTGTATATATCTGCTTCCCTTTTTGCCCATCTTTGAACCCCAAATGGTAATCCCTCTCACTGTATACTTTTGTTCCCTCCCCCTTGCTTTGCACTCCATATAGAAACTCTCCTTGCCTATAGGAAAAGCAGGACTTCCAAGTGCTGGAGAGTGCCCACATCTAAACAACAGGATAAATAATGAATAAATGTATAAAATATTGCTGCGCTTATGAATGAAATCTTAAAGACAAATACCTGTGTTAGAGCAGCAGTCCTAATTGTGAACTAATATACACAAATTAATAAATAAATACCATATGGACCGCGCATGTACTGTGCAAACAATACACTTGGTGCCAAAAAATATAATATAAATGGTTGTGAAAGTCAATACACATAAGTTATACT